TTTTTATGGGTCTCATAGCTCACGTCTTAATGCACACGGTTCCGTTTGGTAGAAATACGTCCATTTCGTTTCCACGACTCGTCCAAACTCCGCAAACAGGCGAAGATGCCAGGCCACAAGGAGGAAATTCTACCACCACTACTTTACGACAAAATTTGATTTTACGTCTTATTTTATGCGTTATGCGAAATTGTTAGTGCACGCCTGTCAAGCTTAGACGCGGTTGCCAATTCTTGTTATCTAAGAAGTATTAACATCACTGCAAGTAAAAGAGGATATTGAAAAAAATACTTCTGCTCACAGGGCTCCTGCACTTCTTTTGTAACAGTCACAGAAGCTTCCGTTATGAGGACAGAGTACTCTGCTCCCACGACCGAAGTTCTGTTCTTGCAACAGAAAAATTCTGTAAGTGTAACAAAGAAACCGCATGAGCCCTTTGAACAGAGGGTTCTGTCGTCAGCTCCATCTATTTTTTTCTATGTGCGGAATTTGGATTACAATGTATTATTACTTGCTCCATAAGTATCCAGGAGGTAAAAAGGAGCTGGGTTTACACTTTTTAGCGGGAAAAGACTCATCACTCACCGCACTGATGCCAGTGTTCATTGATCGAAGAGAATGACACACATTTTCGTCTCAATGACATTTAAATGAATGAATAACTAAATGATGAGCGACACCTTCCTGGAATTCGAACCTATCTAATACCTAGTTGTGCATTTGCCTAAAAAAATTGTTCGAAAATATTATAAACCTGACCTGAGAGTGCATATTCAGCACCACCATTTGGCACTATTAGCAGTAAATTTTTCTACAGTCACTCCTCAAAACTAGTCAATTCGGCTACCAAGCACTTATTGAATAATATGACTTGCAACATTAGATGCGATTAAAAGACATGGACTGATTGCTGCGGCGATGCATCTGAGCCTCAATTTGTTTGTTAATTACACTTATTTTTCAGCCGTTTAAAGGTCCAGGTGATGAACGAAAGCAATGATTAACACAAAGCTGTCCGAAAAATTTCGCATCACCAGCTCTGGGCCCTTAGTGGCTACTCGAGTGAGTGATCGATAATAACCAGCAATCGAGGTAATAAACATCGAATTACTATTATTTTGACGTGTATCTAATCTTGAATGCACGCAGTGACTACTATTTTCTACTTAGTCGGGAAAATTTACGCCTTCTTTTGGGAAGAGGAGAGGAGTTTTCGGAATGGGTTACGTACTTTTTCTTAAAAGACAGTTTCTGACTCCGCTTCAGTAGTATAGAATTCATAGTTGTAATGTTATGTTCTACGTCAAATTTCTGTTGAAATGGTCGCTGGATCGCGAAAAAATAAACGCTCACTAAATTTACACCACCTATTATGCGGGACATTTTTTTTTCGAGCCCAAATTTTGAATTCATTTTGGACGTATAGCTAAGCTACGGTTCCAGGAGGGGAGAGGGGGGGGGTTGGTTCCCGCCAAAGAGCTAATGATCTACCCCAAGAAAGGTTATGTGGTCGTATGTATGTGCTCAATATCAGTAGAGATATCCATGAAGGATAATCGCAACACCAGGAATTTGTCTCGCTAAGTTTCTGCAAGACACTATTATGTTCCATCTGAAGAGGAAAATTCCAGCCTATTCGAGTTTGATTTGCAGAATGATCCATTGAGGGACACTTCGAAATTACGTCCCATTGACATAGGGATAGCGCTACGCAAGGACGTGGAACTTACTAGAAAGTCAAAGATTAAATAATTGTGAGGCGCTGAGCGTTGTTTCCTGCCCTGGTCCCTGAATATACAACGCCGGCGTCACCTATGTCGGAGCGCGCTATAAATTCAATTAAGTTTGAGCTAGTCAGCTATTTGCGATTGCGCGCTCATCCGAACGTGCGCTTGTCAGCCAACTGGAGACAAACATTTTATGCTGTGCAAATGTTACAGGTATAGACGTAAATAGTTTTACGCATGTGACGTTTCTGTCCGCTTTACATATATAAATGACAGTAAAGAGGACAAAGTGTGTGGCATATAAAACTGTCTCCTACCTAAAAAAAAAAAAAAAAAAAAAAAAAAAAAAAAAAAAAAAAAAAAAAAAAAAAAATGAAGCAGTTTTTTCTAAAAAGACTTACCTATTTATTTTTAGTTACATCATCTCGTATTGTCACGTCACACATGGCCGCTACGCCCCCGTCGCCCCCCCCCCTTCTGGTAACGCACCACCATAATAGAGATAGATAGAGGGTTGTGATTATAGTCGTTCCTTAGGGAGCTCCTTTCCCTAGGAGGCCCTCGTGTAAAACTACCACAAAGTACATGTGCACGAATTTTACACGAGGTTTTCAAACATTTTCTAAAAAAAATAAGGTTAAATAATGCGATGTTCAAAGTTTCCTACAGCCTCCTTTAATCACAGTGTTAATCACACGGCTTCCCCAGGGAAGGTGCTGTTCAAAGAACGACTGTAATAACACGGCCCATAGGCCCTTTCTCTGCTGGATAGGTCGCGCATAGTGCTCCCATTTCGCGGAACTAGCACCGAATTCCGGCACTTCTGAAGTTTCCTGAATTTTTCCCGGATCTTTTGAAACCCCCGAAATGTTCCAGATCTTTTGCATTTTCCGGAACTTTTGATGGTTATGGAGTGGAAGAAATTGAAACAAAAAAGTTTCGAAATCCGGAACTTTTGACGGACATGGAATGGGATCACTGGTACACTGGTACACTGGTTGCGCAATATTTGAACGTTCCTCGGAGGGTAGTTTAAGAAGCGGTAGTTAACTGTCGTACTCTACAGTGCTTTCAGACAAGGGATCTCAACTCAAGTCTTGGAAGCTTATTCACCTGACCAAAAGTCCAAGTCATGTCGGTCGATTCACCTCTTCAATGAAACGAGGCGCGAATGGCGATCCAAGGTTCAATGACGGTAGTAACGCAGAGAACAATTCATACGGTCGATTGAGAAGTTTGAACCTGAATCAGTCGTTGATAGCACACCCTTCGATTTATTAATATAACTAATTTCCCCTTATTCATTAAAACAAAGCAGAATGTTATCACGTATAAAAATAATTGAGGCTTCTTCACGAAACAAAAAACACCGCATGGAAAGTGCATGATCACGCAAAGCAGTATGATAGGAAGATTACCTCATAGCTCATTAGTTGTGTTTCATGCCTGGCCTTTGGGGGTTTTGTGGACTGAAACGCTGGTATTTTAAAATATATAAACATAATATTGAAATTAATTGTCTCATTTTATCCTAATTTTTGTAGCGTCATGACTGATCCTATCACATGATAAGCTTTTAAGTACCCGTCTTGAAATTAATTTGAATTTCTTCATTAGTGAGCGGATACAATTAAAGAATTTAAACGTAAGTATGTCAGAGGCATTTTTCAGGATTAATAGTGAAAAAGGTTTTGAGGTGTGTTGAGAGTGAAAAAAATGCTTATTTATTTACGTTTGACGAAGGGCTGAGGAAAAAAATGTCATTATCATCTAAAGGACGTATGAAAATGGAACGGTGTCAACTATGTGCAAAAAAATGGTGCCTTTTGATTCGCCATTACTTTTCATATAGTTTCTTTCCGCATAAATTCGTTCAATCGTGACGAGCAACTCCTCACTTGAATGGTATACAATTTCTTACAAGAAAACTGTTGTGCGGATTGTTGTGCAAATTTAAGTGAATTCTCTGCAAAATTTCCTTAAAATTTTCAAAGGCATTCGCACAAACCCTCTCTTTTAAAAAATTAAATTTTCTCGTTAAATTTGGCAATAACTGATGTAATTTGGTTTCTTTTTGCTAAACTCGGTCCAACTCGTCCTTATTGTTCTTAAATGCTTCAGGTGTTTCTCCATTCTTTTCGGAATATTAACGTTTCTATACAATTCTCTATTTTCTCATTCTACTATACCAGCATCATCTTATAAAGTCTTCAGGTGGGCCGGAAGCGGAAAATTGCGGTTCAGCGAAAATTGTGTGCTCACGGCACGGTATATGCACCCTGCACTTCATTCAAAGTTTCTCTCAGTGTTAACCCGCGGCTCAAGCAGTTACGAATTTCAAATCGCAGTTCTCTTTCTCTTCCTTTGTCTCTTCCCATGACGTTTGCACAAAGGAAGGAAACAAAGCACTGATTACCAAAGCACTGTTTTTTAAAAAAAACACGCACCATAGAAAGACCACTTATCTACAAAGCTTCGCGCACTTTTAAGTTTGTCGGTAATTTTTCAGTCGGTGCCATAGTTACAGCTGTAGTTAGCTGATGCCTGAGCAGTGTTGTCCAGTCATGCTCTAAGTTAAAAAGAATTATTCAACCCGTGAAATCTAGGAATGTGCTTTTGACAGCTCACATTTGGTGAATGAAATCTTTGTTATGAATGGGAGAGGGCTCCGTTTTCTGTTTGCCGAATGAATGCAAGCTTGGCCCATTTGTGTCCAAAAAATCAGTGGTGACTTTTGAAAGTTGGCAAACACTGTTTTTCCTCTTTTTATTTACAGTGTATCAGTTTTAGATGAGGTAGGCAGGTAGGCTGCCTCCCCGAGAATCGATTGTCTTACGTACATTTAAATGGAGGAAAACAGTGTTGCCAATTTCCAAGAATAGCCACTACAAACCACTGACTTTTAAAGATGGGGGACGGAGACCCCCTTCAAAAATGCAAGTTCGCTAAATTGACGTAAAGACTTAAAAAAGATGGAAAAAGAAGGAATCCGAATTCAATTGGACTACATTTTGCATTTTGGAACTATAAATTCTAGCCCGGTTTAAAAACAACGTATGTGCCATTAGTTTCCCTATACACATAAGTGTTTTCCCAGAAGAGCCAGAATTTATAGTTCCAAAATGCAAAATGCAGTCCAATTAAGGGTCCCGTTGCCCCCAGAGACTTTTCTGATGGGGTAGGGGGGAAGGGCCCTAAGCTCGTAAATGTAACCAATGTTATGTCTTGGTACCCAGCCCAGAGGGATGCCTGTAAGTACGAATAAAATGCCAATCGTTTTCCTATAGGTTTTATTATACACAAAGGATATTTAAATCATTCGAAACAACAACAAAACAACCATGATCAGAGGTAATTCAACCAATCCGTTCAATGGCGTGGTGTGCTTTGATCGATTGATCTGCCATTTAAACCAATGGAAAAGTATCGATAAACAGGGTGTTCGCAGCGAACATCTTAATAATCGATTATTTACCACAGCTTCAAATGGAGAAATATCTATAGATCAAAAAGCACGCCACGCCACTGAATCTGTTTCAAAAGACGTTATAGATATTTAACAATTAGAAACTACCGACTTAACATTAATAAGGACGAGTAAAAAAGAAAAACAAATATCACAGCGAGATGAAGTCTATCAAACTAAGCAATAGCTTTGTCTTTGTCTTCTTGCAAAATTGCCGAACACTCCGTTTTCGAGAAGGGCGGCGATTTACCAAGCGGACTTTGGAGATGGACTGCAGTGTTCGAGTAGTTGAAATACCCACCAGCCTTTGGTTTCAAATGCCTGTTGTTCAGCTGCATCTGAATTATTTTCATGAACTCAATTTGCGCGGCAAGCTTCTGAATCTCCTCCTGAAAATTCAATGCAAAACATATTTTTTAATACCGCATCTTAAGTTTCGATACATAACTTATCAGTGGGCTGATTGTTGAAATTGATAGATAAGGGGATGGACAAAGAAGACAAACAGAGATGAGAGGGATTCTATTGGTGAAAACGGATGGTTACACTGACAAAAGAGATAAGTAATAGACTAACTGACGGCAACCCACGAGAGACCCTGCAGTTCGTCCGTTATTTTCTACCTTAGTCTATACAAACCAACTTTTTCAACCAATAAGATCGCTCAATTTTTCCTCTGTTTTCTTTGGCTGCGGCTTAGTTTATCAATTTTTGCAATCAGCCCGCAGGCACGTATAAAAATCAGCCATACAGTGAAAAACAAAAATATTATTTTCGATGAGATCTTTATAGAATGAAAGGGGGTGTTTTAAGCAACGAATTTTCCCATGATTGTGATGCAAATTCAGCTATAGTATCGCTACAGCGGCGGAAAATATACGCGGAAGCTATTGACGGAAACTGATGTTATTTCACTTCTTTCGGCGATTTCAAAGAGAGAGAAATGACACATAGTCCGGCGAGATGAGCCCTTGAATATGAAAGACTGATCATTTGAATGTTGAATAACATCTTAATACGCGCGCACTGTGCCAGAGAAAAAGCCTTTGCGCATTCATTACGTGAGAAGATTTGCACAATACTGTTACGAGTCATTTCTTTTTTGTTCGGATTTTTTTTCAGGAGAAAGAGATTTTTGTTCGTCATAATGAAACCTCCAAAGTGCCCGAAAAAAAAAAAAATAACTCGAAAAGAAAAACCGAAGACACGAAAATATGCATCATATGGTGAAAACAGTTCCTTAATTATTAATGAATTCATTTTGATTAACGAAAAGTCTTGAATAAGATCGGACAAGTGAACAAAAAACGAGGCATTCTGAGTAAAACCAAAGGAAACGCGGTACCTATTCGTAGAAAAGTTCCATTTTGGCAAAACTTGCACGAAATAATTATTTGGGAATCATTACTTTGAAAAAGCTTTCAACAATCAAAAATAAAAACGGATTGTCTGAGCCCTCCTTTATTAAACTTTAGGCGGGGAAAACATGTTATGACAAATAAAATGCGTATAATTTCCCTAAGAGATCCTCTCAAGAAATATGTGGAAAGGCACCACTCCATTAGAATCTTCCATTCCGATTTAATTTCGATTTCCCCGCCATCATCAGACAGTCATATAGGAGTCTTCAGGAATATCAGTAAATTAAAAAGTATGGGGATGGAAATAATGACTCTATCTAGACGATTTTATAAATTTTTTTAAAGTAAATGCCCTTCTACTTTTTTTATTCTTTATTTTATTTTTTACGATCACCAACTTTTGAGCTCTTTCGTAACTATTTGTGAAATTAGGACCTTGATGGACATATTATCCCGTGACGTCACTGTAAAATCAGGACGTCAGAGGATCAGCACGTGAAATTATGGCATGGGTCAAAAAGTGAACATGTGGAAGTTTCTATTTCTGACACACAAAGGTAGTAATCAGGGAACGGTAAGAGCGATGGCTTAGTGCGTCACGTGGAAAGTCTAGCTAGGAAAAGCTGTCTTTTTTCCACACACGTTGCTCTCCGACTGGTCTATTCTCACCTTTGACAAATCACTCAGCAACTTTTCAGTACAATTTTAAATACGCAGTTTATTTCCCGCACTCAGAGACTGGAATATGCTGACTAAACATTTTTAATGCGAAACAAATATTAAGTGATTTAGAAATGAGCATTTAACTTTTTTCAAAGATAATATCACCCATGATTATCAGAGTGTAAGTTCAATTGCAAGGGTAGTTATAAGTATTCCGGGATCAGCAGGAATTTAGACAGCCAAGATGATAAATTTACGCATTTCTTGTACTTGGTGCTCGTACTGTTCTACAATGGGGTTAAAGCAGTGAGGGAGGAACGCCCGATTAACTGTGATGGAGTTTCAATGCAGTCACCATTTCTAGCATAATGTCGTTTCCTAACGAAAAAATTCTGTAATCATGACAGAGAGACAGTGCAAAATTTGAAAGTGTTTGGACGTTACACAATGGTGCGATTTAGGTGGAATGCATCAGGAATTTTATGAAAATCTCTCTTCAATGGGTTTCATCATAATGACAAATTAAAATATTTGAAAAGATCAAACCAAAATATCTAATTTTTAAACGTTTTGAGAAACTGACAAGAAACCCACAATAGGTACTGAAATAAAATTATTGGTTTAAGTGCATGGGGAAAAACAAGAGGAATAGCATAATACAGATTAGATGTAAGAATAATGCTGGGTCCACACCATACACTGAAAAAAAAAAATCCGGCCGTGGGAGCCGCAATTACGGGCTATATAGACATACCGTCCGTTCCGGGCTCAAAGGACAAAAATTCCGGCTGCTGGAGGCGTAGCTTTGATTGCTCCGGGTTCAGAGGCCGAAGCTACGGCTCTAGCAGCCGGAATTTTCGACCTTTGAGCCCGGAATGGACGGTACGTTTATATGTCCCGCAATTGCGGCTCCCACGGCCGGAGTTTTTTTTTCAGTGTACTAAAAAAATATCTAAGCCAATGCTATTAAACATCACCCCCTCAGTCTTGCACTGAAACAATTAATTTTGTCATTCTAATACCTACCTACTTTTAAGTATTTACTTCTAGCGTTGATTTCCCTTTAAAATAGTGTTGACCTATCATTTCTATCATCCCGTTACTTACAATAATTGGACCGCTCAGTTAGTGTTTTTCCTCTATAATGTAAATATTATGCTGTTAATTTCTTCTTACCTTCAACTCTTCATTTTCTTGATAGGGGTCCGTCGTGGGCTCTGGCAAAAAGCCGACCCCGTTCGGAGAGAAGGAGGCTGTTACCGCGCGAGCTTTAGCTTTATTGTCTAATTGATCTCCTTGGCCCCTCATCACCCGCATTACCTACAAAAACAAATATTTTTCGTATAAATTAAATAAGTGTATATATTAAAAAAAAATGGTGTCATGAATGGACAGTATCATGTTCCATTCATAGTTTTCCACTTTCAGGGTGGACCGCTGGACGGAATAAAAAAATTAAACATTACAAAATACTTATGATTCCATGATAAAATCTGAAGTTTCTTCAGTGCGTTAAAATGCGTGAAAAACTTCGACGTATATATTGCATGGGCAATGGGCATCAAGGGAGACATTGGGCCGTTCCGAAATCATTTACCTTTGAATGATGAATCTAGACAGTACAGCTAATGTTTTTGGTGTTTCATTTTTTTAAAAACTTAGTAAGTTTTTTATGGATCCGATTGGAGTTTTTTACGAACATTCCATTTTTTGTTTACGGGAGCAGTGGCGTGGCGTGAATTGCGATATATCGATTGTGGTGCCATTTGAACTCATGGAAAAAGATCGATTATCAGGGTGTTCGCAGCGAACACCTCAGTAATCGATTCTTTACCATAGCTTCAAATGGCGAGATATCGATAATTGATTATTCACGCCACGCCACTGTACGGGAGTATGATTTTTAAAAGAATCTGAGGTTTCTTCCGTACGGTGTACGGTTACTCAGCACGGCTTCAAATGGGCGCATCGACGCCTTTTCGAATCCTTCCATTGGCCAACAATCCAAGTGGAGGCAAAGCGATATAATCGATGAGCCTACAGTTTAGGCATGGAGGAATGACTTCACTTAGCACGATTGAGACATCACCCATTTTCAGATACGACTCTTAAGTGTAAAGTTAGCATTCCTCTTGTATTTGTCACTTAGCAATCTCGCTAAGCCAAAATATTAAGTCAGCTTAAATGAAATTGGTCCCAGTGCTGATTAATTTCAATGTTCTTTTCGATGGCGTTTTTCCAGTGGGCTGAATTTTTCTTGACAAATTTACAAACACAGTATTGCAGTGTAAGTGAGATAGTGTAAAATCCACCAGAACTTATTTGTTGCGAAATAAATATGCTGTTAATAGCCGATTTGATCACTTATTTTGATTTTATCATGGGCAAGAAGTTTGAACTTAATGATTCTAATGGTGAATATAAATACGCAAATTTCTCACTCATCACTTGGTTTCGAACTGTTAAAACATAAATGTAACGTATGTTGCGTGAACTTTTGACGAAGGAGAATAAGTATACTATTTTGAAGAGCTTTAGCCTCCACCCTGTTTGGTGATACTTTTTCTACTTTACAGAGGTTTAATTTCCCAAGAAAGGTCAGAAAAGAATTTCAATCAATTTTGAGCGACGTATCTCATGAGTTCGGCCCTATCCAAATGCATCCTCTTAAAAGACCAATGGATTGGTTGAAGAGAATGTGTTAGTAGCCAACTACCACCCAGTATGTGTGTCTTGTGTATAAATGTGTCTTGCGCTTACCCTATACCACCATGCCACAGTGAGCTTCAGTGACCACAGGGTCAGATAATGGTGCTAGCAATACAGCCCCGGCGGCCAAGCGCAGCAGGCAATCAGGGGCGAACGCAAGACGCACTGCTCCTATTGGTTGGTGGTTGGCCACCGCCACAAGAGTATTAGAGGACGTAATCTAACTAATAAAAGGGAAATACATTGATCATACACTGATCCATCACGCTCGCCTCCCCGCTCCCACCGGTCGGAATCGGTGCGAACTTAGCCGTTCGACGGGTACTGTCCCCGAGGGGTGCAATAAGCTTTCTTTTCGCGATCCGCCCGTCCGTTCGCGAGTAACCGCGGTCGGAAGTCGCGGATATTCCCGTAAGCCCGTGTGCGTTGGAAAGAGAGACGTAGCAGTGCGGGTATATTTCCTGACGCGGCCGTTGCCGGGTGGCCGTCGGATACCTTTAGCTGCGCGCGTAATTGGCCCTTGATTTCCGATGTTCTATGCTGTGAACGGCAACACTGCGGGCCTTTCTATGTTTCATCCGATTATCAGCTGATGAAAGTTTTTGAGCTTTCTTATGTTTCCATAGTTATTCTTCTACGCTTACTGCTCGTATATTTATTCGCCTTCCCCCCTCCCCACGAACGTTTTTACTTTGTTTTTTTTAAGCGTGCCAGTAGGGCTCGCTTTTTGAAATCACTCGGATGTACCATAGTACAGCACACAGATCAACCAATGCTATTCAACGGGTCGTCCAAATACTTTTTTCCTCGCACCCGTTTCTTTGTCTTTGAACCATTACGCTGTCAAGCCCTGATGGCCTCTTACCAAAAAATCTAATGAACTGCTAATTGGAAACCCTTGAGAACATTTTTCTGTCAAAACCGTATTATTCAATTTGACAGAAACCTCATAGGAGCTTTCTTACGCTCGGAGGACTCAACTCTAGAACCTTCTTTCCCGCCAAAACTCTATAAGTGCAATCTGTGATGAGCCTCGTGACTCATTATACTATGTACTAACCATGGCCCCTGCCGAAATCCACTTAAACCACTACAGTTATCTCGCGATATAGCTTTGGGTGTACGGTTTCGAGCAAGGCAATAAAAGACGGCGAGGCGATTAACCGATTAACCATTCACCGTGATGCTAGGATCCACCAAATTTTCTCAAAAATTGTTTTCCGTCTATTTAGCGAGTTTTTCTTTACTTTCCGTTGAAGTACAAATAAAAAGAGACCTCATTTGTACAAATCGGCCGAATAGGAGAGAAGTTACAGTTCGAAATCCAAAGAGATTAACTGAACGCGATTTCGATGCACGGCAGTTCGCCCAAATCACGGTCGTGCGCAAATGCCGCATATCAGCTTAAAATCAAGATAATTGAACGGAATCTTTAAAATTAATTTACATTCAACGTTCATGAATCAATATTTTCTCCCAAATTTAGCAAAAAGTACCAATTGATGCAAAAAGCAAAGACGTGAAAATAAGAGGTATTTGTCCAACATTTCAGTTATTCGGCACGCTTTTCCAACATACTCATGTTGGATTTTTTCTTCTTGTTTTTTTTTAAACTGAGCAGCTGATGAAAATAACATCTTTTTGAATGTTTTGGGTCAGTTATTTTCCATTATCTGAACTTTAGTTGTTGCTTTCATAGTGGGTTTCTTGTGTAATCATGGCTTTTTTAACTATTAATTCCAGTGGAACTCAATTTAACTGTAGTTGTCGTTTTAATAGTGGTTTTCTAGTGTAATCATGGATTTCCTAACTATTTCTGAACTTTAGTTGTTGCTTTCATAGTGGGTTTGTTGTGTAATCATGGATTTTTTAACTATTAATTCCAGTGGAACTCAATTTAACTGTAGAATCAACTCAATTTGAACTCAAACTCAAAACTCACTGTGAACTCAATTTGTTTGGTGGAGTCAACCAGACGTCTGGCTGAGTCAACTGTAATTCTGGTTGAATCATCCGGAAAATCTGGTTGCGAAATACAACCAGAAATTAGAAACGTGGGTCGTACTGGTGGCTGATAAAATTGATCTTCGAATAACTTTTGATGAGCTAAGGAAATGGGTCCATCTGCATCTCATGGAAAATACATAGTTGCCGTAATTAAGGTCATCCCGTAATTAAGGTGCCGTGATTTAAGTCATAAATTCTTCATCTAATTCTTGGTTCATCTCCAAAATGTCTGCTAAAGCTTTCATGCGCTTCTACTTGTATGCATGAATGAGCATATTGGGTATCCAACAAGCGAACACTTTTTTAAAATTCAGATGATTCTCGACAATATCGAACAGAAGTGCAAGAGCTGCGATACAACCATTACATCTAGCTCATCAAAAGTTATTCGAAGATCATTTAAAAACCTCTTTGACAAGTTACAAAAACTTTTCGTTAACAATAGTGTCACACGGTACTAGGGATGGTTACTTTTTAACGAACCTTATATTTCCCTGACTCAGTCCTAAATTATAGAAGTATGCATTAATTTTCCAGCGATCCAAATAAAATCGGTGAATTAAAAGTTATACGCATATATTATGAGATATTTCGATTTGTTTTTTGCAATATCGCCGCGCGAAGCGCGGGTTGACTGCTAGTCTCTAATAAGAGAAAACTGTATTTACGCAATAAAACAGGATCTACAGGTCAATGTCGAATAAAATATTTAAATCCACGGAAGGTAATAAAACCAAAATTAAGTTATGATGGGAAAAAATGAACGGATCCGTTTTCCTAATACGTGAGCCATCCCCACCTCCGCCGGGACAAATATGCGAATCACTCATTGGTTACGATGCCAACTGCGATTTTTGCTCGACCACTGACGCGACGCGACTTGCTGCTCCCCAACAGTATCCGGATCCGCTTTGACGATATATTATATCGAAAATTATATCTACTGGCTTACAATTGGTTGCTGATCGTCGTAAATTAAGTAACAAACTAACCAATCGGCGTCCTATGGACCAAGAGAATAGATATTTAAAGAATAAATGGCGAATAGATAACGAATAGATAGGAAATAGATAGAGAATAAATAATAATTATAGGATACATATTTATTCATTTGATCTATGCATACGGGTCGAATTGGTAACCGGTTCACCTGCCATTCATTTTTGCTGCCCTAATACCAGTGCCACGAATCTTAAAATTTAGCAACCGGTTTTTTGAATACGGATCTGTCGTTTTAACAAAGAGCTTCGTCTTTTATTCTTTTTAATAATTTTTATCATTATAATGTTCAATTAGAAAATGTATACGTAAAATTATGAAAAGTGGGATGATTCACTTAATTCCTTTCTTTTTATTTTAAATCGAATTCATAGATTTATTAGTTTGATTCCTCTATGTTTTTGCTTTTTCTCCTCATTTTGTTATTTCTATTAGATGAGTATTTCCAGAATAATTGCCCGGGCCCGCCCCCTTCCCTTACATTGCCTTAGAGGGATGATGTATTTTTTTAGGGTGAAACTTCGGTCAATTTTAATCGATTATAGGACCAATTTGAATATATTTTGTTAAAAATTTGCCCCCCCCCTCCAAGTTAATAAATTGCCTGTAATTGTGAAATGAAATTAGATTTAATGGCTACAGCTAGTAAAAAGCAGTATATTTTACATGAATTGATCCTTACACACTTTTCATTTCAGTTCAGGCTTATTTCTCATTCATAACTTTATGGCAGGGTGCTCAAGAGTATTCACCGTAAACAACCTCTTCATATTTCTTCGCGTAATGCTCACACAGAACACGTTGGAAATATTGAGCAACTCTAAAACCAACTAAAAAGTAAGGACTTGGTGTTTTTTTTATATATTGGAATCGGCAAATTCAAACTTTCCGCTGTGAAAAAAAAACCAAAATCAAAGTGGGTCAAACCGATCATCACAAACAAACTTGTGCATTCGTTAAATAATTCGTTTCAAAGAACCTTATCTCTTCTTGAGAAACACGACTCCTGTAAAGTCAATGAAGAAAAAAAGAAAACCACAATAAAAATATGACCCAGAACCTGTAAATAGTGCTAGATTCACACTGTTTAAGAATAAATTAAAGCCAAAACAAATGGTCTGGCTTTTCTTTACCCTAAGAAAAGTGTGGACCCACTATCCTAGCTTCCTGTTACTAGAAAAATAATCCAACAAACTTCTAGCAAAGCCGGATTTAACTTGTGTAATGTTTGAAACCTCCTATTAGAATTTGTTTGTAGACATTTTAATGCGGTCCTTAGTTTTCATGCCTAGTAGCTGACAATAAGCAAGAAATCGATCGGAACGATTTATTACCTATCTACGGAAAATACTACCGTAAGTATGACATCAATCATAGGCGGATCTAAAAGGGGGGCCCAGGGAGCGCCCGCCTTCCCCGTTCGCCCGAAAAAAAGAAAGGGTAAAAGGTAAGGAAGATAGAAAGAAAGAAGGAACGGAGGGAAGAAGAAGGAATTACGCTTATCTTTGGCAATTATTCATTACGAAATTAACTCAAACTCAGTGGCGTGGCGTGAATTGCGATGTATCGATTGTTATACCATTTAAAACTATGGTAAAGAATCGATTATTAAGGTGTTCGCTGCGAACACCCTGTTTATCGATCCTTTTCCATAGGTTTAAATGGCATAACAATCGATACATCGCAAAGCACGCCACGGCACCACGCCACTGCTCGAACTGAATACTAGGTGCTTCAAAATGTTGATAATTTTATGGGGGAGACCCCCTGGACCGGCCGTTCATCCCCTCCCCCCGTTTGATGTGTCTGGATCCTTCTATGACATCAGTCCAATAAGTTTAAGCAAACTAAGATCCTACCTGATATTAGACCTGGATAGACTTTTGAGTGAAGTTACTCAAGGTCCCGTTTTTAAGTTAGGTATACGTATTTTTTTCAATGAAAACGTATACACTAACGTAATTATCGTATCAAACTTGCAAAATATGCAGACTCACAAAGAAACTAGCTCTTGAGTTGTCGAGGCTTAACAGTGAAATTCCGAATTATGTTTTACGTTGCAAACGATATTCATAAAATGCGCCTTCAATAATGCGGACGGCAATTTGTCTTACCGCTCATTACCATTTAAGAACTCCATCGTTTGATGTTGGAGTTTCGGATTTGTTGACGTTTTTTTATGATAAGTCTAAAGGGTCAAATACGAGTACAGCTGTTTCAAATCACCTCCGGAGATTGGTTCGCAGCAAGTGCGCAAAATTAGCATGGAAAACTAAATTAAGTGCACTAATGGCAAGCATTTCTAGGTGTGCGAAAATGTAGAACTTAGCAGTAAATTGTGAATAGCAAGAATTGTATCAATATATTTCCCCCGTGAAACTTGTCATTCTTTGAATGAAACCCCTACCAAAGCCATGGAATCGTCGTAGCCAAAATTTTCCGCAATGCAAAATCATGCATGGTATTTTATGGCAAGTGCAAAATATATCTTCCGGTTACAGGCACTTCAATATGAGTAGTCGAAGCCATCGTTCATAATTTAAATACATTTTTTGAATATGAATTGCTCGTCTGGTAGAAACTGCCTCTGTTCTCAGCTGATGATGATTTTTTACTGAATGTGATCTTTCATTTTCTCTTAAATCGCAAAAATGGTTCTAGGGAATCAAAAAACTGCTAGTATCGATGAAATACATTTTTAGTAAATAGGGTTGATTTCAGATGACTTTATAGTTTATTTTTAAAATCAAACAAAACTCACCATACTCGAGATTGTCGCACGGGTCTGAAGCGAGTTTAGTGTGTGTGCCATTTGACTGACCATTCATTGACCGATTAAATAACTTATCCCTCATAATTTTATAGATACGGTTGTTAAATTGTCTTGCTTTTGAAATACGCAACCAAGTCATGAATTTCAGCCATTTCTCTTGGGTGGAGCTTCAGATAAATCGTACATCGATTAACCTTTATTAGTATATTTTTAGTACAACTCTTCACAGGGCTTACTTTTCACATAAAATTGAACACGAGTGCTCATTCGAGTTCAAAAAATACTTGAAATACGTGTACTTGTACATGTACATGTAGCTTACATGTACTTTTTGAACAAGAATAACTTGTTCGATAAACTGTATGATTCTAAAAAAATCCCTTGACCCCTAAATTGGTAAGATGTCTTTTAAATGAATACCTACTCATCTTTTAGAGTGAGTGGTGCAAAATTACTATGAGAAGTATACTTTTAACATAGTTCAAAGTTTTGTTTTTCCAGAAAAATTCTGCCCTCACATACTTTCAAAATTAAAACTTTAAAAAAATATTCCTTCTCGGATGAGTTTTATCTCTTCCTGTTCTCTACAACATAAAGCGAATCAATCGTTTGTGTCCTCCAGTGAGAGTCGCAAACCCGTCGTCATGCATGGCTATAATATAAGTATGGTAGAAATAAAAAATGATAATAAGTTACGAGCTAGGTTCGTACTTTGGGTCCAAAGATGAGTGCGATAGTGACGGAGGTGCTGCATTGGGTACGAATAAATCCTAAGAAGTACTTCCCGTCTGGACTTGCATTAGGCAGGATGAAAAGGCTGGTGGATTAAAAGAACAAAAAATTATTAGCTACTGGAAGTGAACCTCATTAGATAAATATGCACTGCCGTATTTACTATTCAAGGTTCAGCGTGATATTCCGATCCTATTCTATAGAAAAATCCTGAGGTCAACATGTTCCATGGCGCAAGTTAAACTTTACGATAACGAGTAATCAATTTTAATCCAGACTATTTCAACTCTCTCGGTTACAATTATTGGAATCTTAAATTGAGATTTTTGCTGTGAAGCAAAATTCTAATACTCTAAGTAAGTGAAAGCATACTTTCTGATATTGTGTGCCAAAAACTTATAGGTGCATTGAATAATGGGATTTCATGCAATAAATAGCTATGTCGTTTCGAAGTTGTATCTATGAAGAAGCTATTTCAGTTAAACATTGTACCCACTTTTAAAAATATCGATAAAAATTAAAACACGTAACGCTCTAGAGGAGGGGGGTGTGAGCCTACGTTAACAGGTAGGAGCAGTGTCAGCGTTACGTCAGTGGCGTGGCGCGAATTGCGATATATCAATTGTTATGCCATTTAAACCTATGGTAAAGAATCGATAATTAAGGTGTTCTCTGCTAACACACTGTTTATCGATCCTTATCCATGGGTTTAAATGGCATAACAATCGATGTATCTCAATTCACGCCACGCCACTGAGTTACGTAACCTCCTCTATTATTGGCAAAAGCCGCACATAATCCAAAATGTATCAACCTCAACCTCATTTCTTCGACATTATACGAAGCGTAACAAAGGGTGGGGGTGGGGGGAGGGGATAAAAAATGCCGGAAAAGTGCGTTAACTAATTTATGGATGCTCCCTTTTGTGTATGTATACTTCATTTTCATTTCAGTTAAATAAGATAAAAAAAATGGTATTAAAAATAGTCCAGACTCTTCAGTTTCCTGCAGCTTTCTATCTAGGGGTCACTCTAAGAATTCTACTACATGCACTACAATTGTATGAAATGCATGCTAACTGACAATTTAAAATTGTATCTAACAAATGCATTTGAAACATAATTAAAGAGTCCAAGTGATTTTCAGGTTTCTTCATTTTTTTGGGCAATTAACGTAGACGTGCAACAGCCCCGTCTGAGCAATGTACATGTATATCAAAATAAACCCTAAATATATTATTTGATTTTTCTACAGTAGTCATGAAATAAACGCCTACTGTGTACCCATCTATAAGCGTAATGGAGTCAAATGAGTAATTGAAATATATTCTGGCAGTATAAAATTCATTAATGTCTCTGATAGAATTAACTAACTAACTGACCATTTAATTTTTAAAACAATTACAGTCTTGAATATAATTTACGACTGTGGGTGAGATGTTGCATTTTATACTAATTCATGCCAAAACTGTTCCGAAGCAAGTGCGGAAGCTATGTAGCACACCAGAGGCGTAGCCAAAGTATATGGGAGAGCGGTATAAAATGCAAAGTTTCTCGGAGGATAGAAATCCGAAGTTTACACATTCTTGAAAATCACAAAAATTATTTCTTTTTTCGGACAATTTTCGGGCCTTTGGGGGCTTAGGCCTCCTGGACCTTCCTTGGCCACGCCAGCATACATAGTCCTTAAATTCTATGTTTTTGACAAAAACTTTTCGACAGAGCTCATACTTTGAAAAAAAGGAGGTAAGGTCTTGAAAATCACTCTGCTAATAAACATAATAAACGTGGTATCAAGATGACCATGGTTTCAACAGCTGTTCTCTCTTTTTCATGCCTTCTTAACAATTCTCTAAAATAAGCAGGTAATATTAATGAAATTACCAGAATTATCCTAAATAAGCTCTGTATACTTACTGGAGTGAGACCATAAAAATATTTACAGCAGCTATGTTATAAATGGCATAGCTAATCATTCTCGCCTCATTATACAATGACTCGGCATTACGAACGTTATAACAAACTCGCACTCCCCATGCTAAGAACAAAACCTCTCCTGCAAAAATAAAAATGTAAATAATTGCATGTCAAGCCATAACAATAAGTATTTTATAAGAATATGATAATGTAAATAGAATAAAATAACTCGATAACAAAGGTTCTTTCCGTCAAAAACATTTTCACGAACAGTAATTTCAGAGGCAATTTGTGGACCAATTTTGGCCCTAGCCAATGCCCGTCTCATAGATAGATGTTCAGTTGTTTTAAGAATCTATCGATGGAGAGACGTGAGTGATCGATTATGGACATTTCCCCATTTGAAGCTATGGTAAAGAATCGATTATTAAGGTGTTCGGACGAACATCCTGTCCATCGATCCTTTTTCATAGGTTTAAATGACAGATCAATCGATACATCGCGGAACACGCCACGCCACTGCTATGCCTGGTGTCAAATGCACGTCTTTGCATCGTCAGGATAGATGAAATATGCATGGAACTGAGAGGTGAACATACTCCGAATGTAACTTTCATCACAACCCTCGAAACAAATGAATTTTCAGTTATGCACGTACATTCACTGTCACTCGGCTGCATGCGAGGGTCTCCAGTTGGAGACGAGTGGCTCTTTCGGCGTGATTCAAATGCATATTTGATAACTTTGCGGTCATTAACTTTTCATCAAGACCGTCAGAGTGCGTGGTGTCGCTGCGAGGTGAAATTAAGCCACGGAAAAGTCCGAGTTTAGAGGAGAACAAATCAGGAACTAAAACGCGAAGCAGCTGGCATGCATATGAACGAAATATAACAAGCTGCTGATTTCTCAACATCTGCTCCTGCTCACCATTTCCCTTTATTTTTAAATCAGGGAAGCCCTACAAACTTAAATTTTTGCCGGGATTTAGCTAACAGTGAAAAGAGGAAATGCTTCTTGCGGAAAATGCGTCAAAAATCGCAACGGGGGATTTGAAGAAGTCCGAACTTACGCTTGCACAATCTTCGTGAGAAATTTCAAATTCTTGAGCCTTACATTCAATGAACTCACAACCAGATTTACAACTGATCTTTTTTCTTTTTTATTGGGTGAAACAACAACAATCCACAGACTCGCTCCAACAAAAATTTGCAACAAACCCATTGATTGAGATTATGAAAGGTTTTCCGAGAGCCCCGCACCAATATGCATCAGACATATCGCCCCTGTAACCCTTGGAAAATTTGAAATAGAAACTTGACATTTTGTGGATGCTCTTGAGAGTCCTAGATCAAGAGAAACTAATTTAAGGGGACCGCCCTGAGAAAAGGGGCAAGAACATCAGGGGTTAGGGGTGGGGAACTTTTGGTCCTTTTAGATCACCCTGTATATAGGCAAGTTGCTCCGGACTTAGGCCGTATATTACCAAAAATCAAAGCAGTTTTATCTCTCCACCAACTGCAAGACCGTTTGATGCTGTGATAAGTCCCTAACTTGACCAAAAATTTGGCTGCAATATCATAACTTCTCTAATGAAAAAGGACTGGAAAGTTAACTTTCATTTGAGGTAAATCCCTCACCCCTTAAATGAAAAAGATCTTGAGCCCCCTCCCACTTCCAAGTTTGGATACCATGCAATAAATCAAATCAACCCATACACCTCTTTGTTTTATCGTAACTCCTCTTTTAGATAACTCACTTTCATGTTGAGGGATATGGCGTATCAACCGATGATTTGCGAGATAAGATTACGAGCATCATGGTTGCGTGGGAAATAAATTGCAATCCATTATAATGAAAAGGATCAAGCCCGAATGTTGCGTTGCAAGAGACGAGTGAAGACTGATTGATGTTGATGCTTTCCGCAGAAAATCAGATCGTGTTTCAAGAGCATTCCAATGTCGCTAACCTTGCAAACATAAACGATCATCTAAACTAGTTTCACCTCGACTCCCAATAAACTATGAATTCAAGACGAAAAAAACCGTCGCAAAGTTTACTTTTTGCAAAGAATGTACCTAAGTTGCAAAGTCCCAGCAACATTGAAATGCTCTTAGTTCCTTTTCGCAAAATGCAATCCAATTGGTTGTTGCTGCAAAAAAATAGTTTCCCACAACCTGCTATACAATGCTCCAGTGACCATGTAAGTTGGCCCGAGCACTAACTTTTCGGGAAGAAAGCCTTTCCCCTACCTGGTTTCTCACTTAATATCCGCCCGAGTTTCGCATATCTTCCTTTTCTCCTCCATCCAGCTTCCATCAAACCGCAATTGCCCGGAAACTATGACCGCACATCTTATCTGATAAAATCGTTCGCCCTTTAGACCGATTCAGGGGGGTTAGGCTAGACTAGTCGATGAGTCAACTGTTGATCTAATTTCATTACGTGAACGTAGAAGAAAAACGGGGTAAAAAATCACTAATGTGTGATCAATTTTCAAGGACAATTCTGTAAATTCTCTTACGATTTTAAATAGATTAAAACTCGTAATATCGAAAATCTAAGCTCAGATTTGGATTCCTCGTGAAAAATTGATGAGATTTCATGTATCATATGTTACAATAGCGTGAAGGAAAAAGGTTTAACGACCCGTATAGATTCCGTCTTTGAACTACGCCGCCGCGCGGGTCGCCCGAGTGAAACCGAACCGGGAGGCGCCGGCCGGCGCTAACAATAAGTCTTCGGTTTCGTCCCGAGGAATTCCTCACGATAAATTCTTATTCTTCCTCCCCCGCTGACCCACTGAGCACTACCCATGTTGCCACGTTGCATTCATATGCTCGAATCAGTATGTCTACGTTACGCCTCTTTCCTTCACGCTATGCTCGGGTATGATACATGAAATTGTATCAGTTTTTAACGAGGAATCCGAATCTGAACTTCGATTTTGGGTATCACGCGTTTTAAGTCAAATTTTTCAAATTCGAAAATCTGAAATGACTGAAGTGGCTTAAAATGCCATCTCGGCTTCTGTTCGATGGATTTTCCTGAAATTCGGTGTCAGGGTATGACACATGAAATCGCATCGATTTTTTACGAGGAATCCGAATCTGAATTTCGATTTTGGGTATCACGCGTTTTAAGTAAAATTTTTCAACTTCAAAAATCCGAAATGACTGAAGTGGCTTAAAATTCCATCTCGGCTCCTGTTCGATGGATTCTCCTGAAATTCAGTGTCAGGGTATGATAAATGAAATCGCATCGATTTTTTACGAGGAATCCGAATCTGAGCTTCGATTTTGGGGATCACGCGTTTTAAATCAAAATCTGTCAAAATTCAAAAAATTCAAAATTCGAATATCCGAAATGGCTTAAAATGCTATCTCGGCTCCTGTTCGATGGATTTTTCTGAAATTCGGTGTCAGGACGTATTTTTCGACGGGAAACTCGAATTTTTAGTCCATTATTAAAAATTCTCAAATTCAAGATGGCGGCCGTGGGCTAAAATGCTATCTCGGTTTCTGTTTGTTCGAGTCTTGTGAAACGCGGTATCACACGGTATTTTTCAACGGAAAACTCGAATTTTTAGTCAATTTTTTAAAATTCTCAACTCCAAAATGTTGGATGTGGCCTAAAATGAGCCCCGGTTCTGGCCTCCGTTTCTGTTCGTCAGAGCTTTGTGAACCGCGGGATCAGGGGTACTTTTCGACGGGAAACTCGAATTTTTAGTCGATTTCTGAAAATTCTCAAATCCAATATGGCGGACGTGGCCTAAAATGCTATGTCGGCTCTTGTTCGATGGATTTTTCTGAATCTCGGTGTTTCAGGGTATTTTTCGACCGAAAACTCGAATTTTTAGTCAATTTTTAAAAAATTCTTAAATCCAAGATGGCGGACGTGGCCTAATATGCTATCTCGGTTTCTCTTCGTTCAAGTTCGCTGATACTCGGTATTGCGGAGTATTTTTCGACGGGAAACTCAAATCTCTAGTCAAATTTCCAACATTCGTAAACCCAAGATGGCGGCCGTGGCCCAAAATGTCATCTCAGCTCCTGTCGGTTTTTGTGAAACGTAGTGTTAGGGTAACTCTTTCCAGTCAAATCTACAAAATTTGAAAATCACGATTGCTAGAAACCAGAGCATTGTATGGCGGGTTATGAAAAACTATTTTTCGCAGGAACAAGTAACCCGCTTCTTCGAAAATAGCAACTTCACACTCATAAGTATGAATAGTGAAGAAATTTTAAGCCAGGATCTTTTTTAACTGACAGTAGGTATTCCATGGTCTGGCGCTCCTTACCACATGCCTACTCTTGTATTTCTGTACAGCCGCAAATTTAGCGTCAAGGGGCGCCTGACCGTCTATGGACCAGGTGGAGTTTTTGTCCTGAAAATTTACCTTTAGACGGCAATTCTCTTTATATTTGGTCTATGGTTTTTATGCCCCCCCCCTTTCTCGCGGACTCTCTTTTCACTTTTCTTGCCTACTTCTTCCTTCCATTTCCCCCCTTCTTCCTTGCTTTCACTGCCCAACCTTGTTACCTTTTCCTTTTTTCCCCTTTTCTTTTCTTCCCTTTTCTTCCTTTTCCTTTCCCCCGCTTTTTTCCCTCTCTTCTTCTTTCGTGGCGCCCCCCCCCCCCCAAAGNGCTGGCACCCGTGTGCGCCGCACGCCCTGCACACGCCCTAAGTCCGGGCTTGTGTTTCGATAAGCTGAGTGTAAATTTACGACTCCATTTTTAGAACAAATGAGTGACGGTGGAATTTGCTGGGCAATTAGTTCTATATCTGAGGTATATGATGAGGTAGTTTCAATAGCCGTAATAAATAACATTTTGATGAATCTTTGAAGTGTCTAGACGTTGTCCTGCATCCCTAGTTTCTTGAGTTAGTAACGTGAGCTATGAGCGGAAAATCTCCATCACCAATCCACGGATCTCCTTCCCACGATTATGAAGGTGGAAATACGCTTTTTGTTACTCACGCTATTACAATTTTTTTGGGTAGAAAATCAAAAGGCACTTGCCCTTCTAAAATAATTAATCTCGAGGATTCATACTGTAGTGGGAACCCTATGGGGGGAAAATGGAACCACACTTTATATCTTATGATGTACACTATATTCTTGACAAGCTGCTCTTACAGGGGCTGGACCGGGTTATGTCTCGGGTCTTGAAACCTCACACTGACTAACCCCGCACGAGCGGCTTCCGCGAGCTTTTATGCCAACGCCCGAAGCTTCCGTGCCCAACTCCGACTTCCGAATCGCCGGAAGCCGGGGTCACTCTTGCCGCAAGCTCCGCGCGCGGACATAAACAATCGCGTCTCAAAAACTCGCATCTAACACACCTGACCCTGTCACTGGCATGGAAATCCGCGATATCTCACGACTTGCCATGTCCCCAAACCAACTTCCTCCAAGTGGATCGGTAAAGACCTCGCAGGTCTTTACCCGATACCACTACAATACACTGAGAAAAAGTTGTCGGTATCGGGTTATGATTACGGGCTGTGGCCGTTGCAAATTCAAACGTTATCAATATTTTTATGACAAAATACTAAACTCTGAGAGAAGTTTAGAATTTTTACTTGACATTTGCAGAGACATTAAATTGACTTGTGGGACAAATCTTCCAAAAAATTAATATAAAAGAATAAATAAAGAAAACGCAGAGAGAAGCAATTTGCGTCAAGAAAAATTGTATTTAAAAATCAGAAGAAATGTAAAGCTCGAATGTTCATGTATACGGTCAGGGCCAGATTTACCTACTTGCCGCTCATGGGCCGCCTGTATTTTGCCGCCCCCTTCTCATTCGTTTTGATACATCAATTAAAACCATCATGTGAACGGGCCGGAAGGAGAGGAGTGCATGAGACGTGCATACTCGTGTTGGACAAATTTTTCGCGAAAGCCGTGTCAACACTACTTGCAAAAGTTCACGGAACTTTGCGCGAAAGTTAAGTTCCTTAAACATATCTGTGTGTGGACAAGGCCTTCCGTTCATCAGAAATCAACAAAAAAATTAAGAAAGAACAAACATGAAATGTGGTTTAATAATTTTAACTTCCGCCGCCGCGCCGAGCTGACCGTACTGTGTTATGCGCAATGCGTGAAGTATTCATCCAGTCTTGAAGGCGCTAATATGTGTTACATGCCGACTGCCGCGCCGAGGGCTTCTCCTATTCATCTCAAGTCCTCGTCATCTCTCTGCGCAGTGCCGCTCCAGGCCAAATTGCGCGTTTGGTTTCTCTCTTAACTCGACTTATTGAAGGTGCTGTCCCTTGTATCACCGAAAGTCGACAAAATTATAAATTACTATACTAAAAGGAGAGAATGAGATTTTAAAGAAATGAGAGCTTTTGTCGCCTTTTCTCGTTTGTATTTTTTTTTCCGAATCCGATTTTTCTATATAGCTACATTTAATAAAAAATGGAAAGTTTGCCAGTTGCTAAATTTGCCGCCATGGGCCGCGGCCCATGTGGCCACCCCCTAAATCCGGCCCTGCATGTATACGATGTTATGCCTTAGCATGAGAATATTAGAACATACCGTCTGATCCGGGTTCAAACGCAGTTATATAAAGCCTTTCAAAGTTTAAAATATTGAATTTAATGAATCGTTCTAAGAGATGTTCTGAAGCTAAAAATTGGCCTTTGAGTTCAATTTTTTTTTGCCGAGTTAAATTTAAAACACGTTTTGTTCAAAAGTAACGCACTTTCTCATGTTTTTCAAATATGTCACCGTGGGTCTTAGAAGCATTGTAAACAAATATTAATGAAAGTGAACGAAATTTTGTAGAGAACCGTGTTTTGTAAAAACGATGACCAGATCTACTTGAAAAAGTAAAATATGACGGAAGATTTGCAATGTCGCTAACCGAGACACGTATACTGCGCCGTGTTGAGGAAAAACGCCGTATGAACATTCCAGAGTTGCCGAATTTTCCTTGATAAAACATGTTTTTATGACGACATTCATGCATATTTTCCCTTGAAATTTTCAGATATTTTAGATTAAATCGCGTACAAAATTTCTGAACATTTTGGGAAAAAATATTCGAAGTTTTACCAGTAAATTCGGTTTTTAGTGGAGGGAATCTGACAGCGTCTCAAGGCTTGTAGGGCGTTTTTCCCTAGCGCGGCGACAGCGTCTCAAGGCTTGTAGGGCGTTTTTCCCTAGCGCGGCAGTAGAGTTCGGTGGTTTTACCACCAATATACTAATTTTATGTGAAAAGCAGTTAACTTACAGGAACGATTGTAAAATTGAACAATAGCCCCTTCCGGACGAGTAAAACCCATTCTTCGAATGAATAAGTTAATCCGTCGCACCTCTGGCGCAAGGGCGTATATAGATTTTTGCGTAACCCCCAGAGAGCATAGGATTATATGTGAAGCAGGGCTAACGTGGAAATTGAGATACGCCCTTTACGTAAAAGGGGCGACGCAATCTGATAGGATGTGCATGCGATGAAATAATGGAGAAAGATCCGTACCTGCGGCCAAACTATGATCCCACCAATTGTAAGAGCACTGCTTGAAGAGAAGGCCTCTATAATCCCGGATATTTACTCCGTGTGGAGGGTCGTTGAGAGTCCATGTGGAGAGGTAAATAATGATGACGAGCAGGATAGGCACCATCCACTGGAGTAGCTGGTGGTCGGTCAGCTTCACCTTGTGCGCCGACTTAACTCGATGCGTGAGCGATACCCTGCCCAACATCCGGCGAAAAGCTAGCTCAGTTGTTAAGTTCAAGGAAATGAACCTTTCATGAATTATTTAGGGTCGCCAAAAAGTTCAGTCCCCATATTTCGTCGTTTCCCGCACGAAGGGACGTAACTTCAATTCAATGTTGTTGCCAAATTTCTCCTCGCAAGTTGCATTTTGACTAGGAAAGTTTTTAGAAATCTAGGTTAGGTTAGGTTAGGTTAGATTAGGTTAGGTTAGGTTTCTTTTGCGTTTTATACCCATATTTCGTCGTTTCCCGCACGAAGGAACGTAACTCCAATTCAATGCTGCCAAATTTCTCCTCGCAAGTTGCATTTCAACGAGGAGAGTTTAAGGTATGTCTAACTGAAAATTTCACTGATTATTTCTCGGATTTCATGCAAAAATCAAACAAGTTTGGACTAAAAATTGCACAGGTGCATGGAGTTAAGTTCCTTCGTTCGGCACACGACAATTTATACGTTCAAGCTCTCCGGATACCTCTAGTCCTATAATATAGATGTCCAAGGTACGAAACCACATATCTCCATTCTGGTGTTTCAAAATTCTCGCTCCTATTTTATTTTTTCGTAGAGGAACAAGCCAATTTCATAGCTTGAAAACTTTCAAAGAATATTCTGCTAACAGATAAAAAGATTTTCAAGAAATTACGTTGACCAGTCTTCCAAAGAAAGAGCAAAGTATAACAAGAAATCTGCGATTTCACGAACGGAGGTAAGTGGTTTCGAATTTTCGCCATCGATATTCATGTATCGGTATGTTTACTTTAAAAAAATTTACTAATTTTGAAGATCCTAGAAACAAGGATTCATTCCTATCGCCCAAGGTCCTTTCGCTTCTGTTTCAAAGATGAGAACTCTTATAAGAAAAGCCACAATCTCAAATGGACCGCATGTTCTTATTTTTACACCATCCAGTTCACTGTTAATGGCATAATGTAAATTAAATGCAGTCAAGAACGAAGAAGACCTGTAGAGAGAGAGGGGGGGGGATCGAGAATAAAGAAAGAATTTTGAAAAAAAACTCTTCCGTCTCTATCGCCTTTGATTTTACCCTCCGGAGCAACATCACGCCTGCAACACGCAATTGCAATACCAGCGCGCACTCCTAAAAAGGTAAGAAAAGCCAGAATCCCTTCAATTTTCAATGTATGCAACGCGGGCATCCAAAGAACACGAATAGTTGCATCATGGCAGGCGCTACTTACATCGACGCACTGCGCGGCGTTCAAGGCCTCATTGCCATGTCCCTCCCCGCCGAAAATCCGATTGAGCATTGCTTATTGTATTTTCTTCTCTACTTAAAAATAAATTATTCATGCATATGGACGTATTTTCGATAACATGAAATAAGATAACCGAGACCAATGAAACAATTAAAATTAAATGCATTCTTTTTTTCTAAATGCGGTGTTGGGAACGATGATGGATCATATTTTAGAGAGAAAGTTGCGAGCTAATGGGCATCTATGTAAGAGATAGCAAATATTTCCAACTTGCTGACACTTTGTCATATTTTAATATCTGTAACTTAAAATTTGCTAAAACTAAGATATCTCTCGAACAGAAACGAATTTTATAATGATCAAAATAACACACCTCCAGGTTTTCATCAGAAGAGCAGAGTAGGTCACGCAAAATCCAAAATGCCTTAACCACTTCGTGAAGCTGCAGGAAATTTTGTCTAGCACAGGAAATATTGCTGCCATCTAAAAACAGTAAGCCATTAATTTAAAATTAGTTTCAAGCACATTTTATTTTCACAACGTGCTGTACTGTTGATTCTAGGAGCATGATTTTTTAATTTTCGTGACAATATAGTTTTATTTCCCCCTGTTGATTTTCTTTTGGTCAAATAAGAATGTAACATGCTTATTTTATCTGATTGACGAATATTTCACTAGGTTTCAAGCAGTAATGGTAAGATTATTATGTCATAAAAATATCTCTCTTAAATTTCTTTGATTATGGTCCGCCATTCATTTTCAGCCAATCCTTTATCACCAGAGCTCTAACTCACTAGATAATTCCCAAGTTTTATCCTCAGAGGCCAGCAGCGATTGGATCCCTTACATTCGCTCTCCAGGCTATAATTTTGGGTCCATTTGAATTTCGAAAGTCTCTTAATGCAGTGGCGTGGCGTCCATAGGTTCGCAGTGTTCGCCGAACACCCTAAAATATTTTGAAACAATTACTAAATTATGGCTAAGAATGTGGGAAGCAACACAGAATACAGAATAGTAGATCGCAAATAAGTATAGGGCGCTTGGCTTCCGACAGCGGCATGTGGCGCGGCGGAGAGAGAAAATCCAGTGGCACGTAGTCCGCACCGGCTACCGAACCTAGATGATCTGCGTACGGTGAGGAGAGAGAACCTGGGTGCAATGATGAAGGGGCAAAGGGTACACGAGAGAGGAGAGGCACCGGCGCACGGCGCAGAGCGGAGCGTGAGCATTGGGTTCGGAGACGAGTGCGGAACTGCGGACCGCGCTCGCGGAGGGAACACAGCAGAGAGAAAAGAGAGGGGAAAAGAACGAGAGAGGAGAACCACTCATCAGTCCAGCTGTTTCCTATAGCAGTGGTCCGCAGGGGTTTGCGAACCGCTGAATTTCCTCTATGCCGCGATTCGCCCTCCGCTCCCCCCCCCCCCCCCCCCCCNCCCCCCCCCCCGCGCCTGCGCGCCGCATCTCCCAATTTCAAAGTCTCCCTCTCCCACCTCTCTCTGCAGGTGCGTGTTGCGAAAATACGTTATCATGTAACAAATAAATTACAGGAAAACGATCGGTGAAAAGAACAAAATTTCAATGACAATTTACCGGCGCAATTTTCACCAGAAAGGGTTAAAATCGTGTTCTTGCGGCTTCATTTTTTAAAAAGTTTCCGGGGGAGGCCCCCCGAACCCCCCTTTAAGGAAGGGGATTGAACCTTTCTGACCCCCCCTCCCCCCTAAAGTTAACACTCCTACCGAACGCCTACCAGATATAGTCACGCCACGCCACTGTCTTAATGGTGTTTATGAGTTTCTACCTATTAACAAATAATTTTAATTTCTACTTCCTAGGCATCTTAATTTTTTTAGTTTTAAATGAGGTTTTCGGACCACAAAACGTCCCGGTATTTTGAATGACTATAATTTGGTGTTATGGTTACTGGCAATGTTTTTCTGTCGGGCTATTTTCTTGGCCCATGAATATCTATACAAGGTAGCAAAAGGTGTACGTTTAGCAATCACCCTTTTTGTTACAGACTGTTACGTGTGTGCCTGAGAAGCGTGCTGCGTCTTCTTCGGACGATTGAAGTGCCAAGACATAAAAAAATAATACCTGCAAGCATAAAGAAAATTGTCTTGAAACGAACCTCTAAATACATGATAGAGCATCCAAAGAGCGTAATGCTGAGAAAAACAGGACTGGCAACCTTGAATACTTTTACTTTTCGATTTTTATACACGAATCCGATTAAACACAGAGAAAAGAAGGCGCAAAATATTGATATACTCAGCAAAGTTATCCTGCGACAAACAAAAGACACATACGTTTAAAGTGATATGAGACATTACAATTTCCTGGTGCATTAAAAATTTAATCTGTCACAAGAAAATCACCAATTCTAAGCCACATGGAAATGATTATTCCGTACACTCTAAAAATTGATCAAAAAGATTAGTCTCTTACAAATAAAGAAAAGGGAGCGCGAAGAGGAAGAAAAAAAGAAAAGGAAGTATTTGAAGAACAATAAAAAAAATTGAGAGAAAAAGTTTCTTGAATTGGCAAACACATATTGCGTGGATCATACTGTATCTGTGCACTTCTATTAAAGGTGTGATTCCTTTAAGGGGCCGTCCTTAAATTACGTAACGCTCTAGAGGGGGAGGGAGAGGGGAGAGGGGAGGATTACGCCATTATGTTTTTACGTATTAAAGGATAGGAACCTACTTCACAAAAGCGTTACAAGAGGGGGGGGATCAAAAATGCCAAAAAAGTGCGTTATGTAATTTAGGGACGGACTCTAATGATACCTGCCGTACTATATAAATTAAAATGTTCATTATCATGGGAATGTGGCATTACATACATACGAGTCGCTGTTATAGCGCTCTTTGGCGCTTTGCGACACCTAATCGCCACAAAGCTCGGTCTTCCCACAGGTTATCAGGGAGTTGACACTCCCTCATCTCACTTAACACCCCCTGTCGCCAACCTCTCACTGGGCGTCCCCTACGCCTCCTCCCAGGAGGAACCCAATCAAGCATCTTTTTTGGCAGCCTCTCTTCCGTCATCCTATTGACATGACCATACCAAACAAGTTGTTTTGCAATAAAGATGCTAAAAGTAACCATGAAGTTAACTTTTGAAGCCTCAGATGATAAAAATATCTTTTCATACGGCACATCCCGAACTTACGGGAACACATTTGAATGAAATTCAATTGATTTTTAGAATGGTGTACCTATGCAATTATGCAGATCACTAATAGGAAGTTTGCGGTCGGAAATTGGAATGAAATGGAAGGATTTTGAACAAAAAAGTGAGGAGTTTTCAAGCAGAGCACGATCTCTTTCTTACCTGAAGGGCCAATTGTAAGGAGCTAGACAGGGGTCAGAACTTCGACACGTCTCACAGCCGGCAGCACACGGTTTACAAGTAAAGTTCAATCGGTAGCCTTGACTCAGGTTTTTTTCGTACTCTGCCCACGCTTCTGAAAAAAACAACAAACTTTCTTGATTCTCCGTAAGTTAAGAGCTTTAGCTTCATTCTCATTGTTGTGAACTACAGAATACTTTTCTCCTTTGTTTTTTAATGCGAATAACTCGTATCCTAAACTCCGGTGACTTCACCACATTTTAGATTTCTGGGAGCAGAAAATATGTACCTATAGAGAGTACCTTGTGAGTAGATTATATGTTTCGTCTGTGTAATGTTCTTATGAAATCGCAGCAACGTCACAGAATTCTATTCACTTTATTACCTATGTGAAACAGGTAACGAGCATTATTTACAGAGAAAAAAATTATAGAAAAGGAGGGAAAATAAGAACACGGATAAGAAAGCGAATAAGCAGGAAAAGAGAGGAGAGATGAAGAGACAGAAATATAAAACGGAAGGAAGTACACTGATAAAAATGTTTATGTTACTTTTGGTAATATTTGGTTAATATAGGAGGTGAAACGCGAACCGACTCAAATTTTGGGTTGATTTTGGTATTTTGCGGTAAATTTAGCGCAAAAAATAATGGAAAAGACTGTGAAGCCCCAGAGTGAAACGGAGGCTTGGGTTATTTTGTGTTTTACTTTCAATACCAGCAGAAAATGTCAGTCACTTTTCCTTACCATATAGAAAAAAGGGAATATAAAATCGATGACAGAAAATTGGGAAAGGGGGAGACAATAAAAAGACGGAGATACGAAGAAGAGGATGAAAGAGTCAAATAGTTCATGCGATTTCTTCCAACGTTTCTGTTTCACAGCATTTTATGTTTTTGTCCAGAAGGCACTCATCAAAGAAGTGACAAGGTTCATATTTACTTCATTTTTAAATGAAAAAATGCTGTGCTCTTGCATTAGTTACCGTAAGATCTAAAGAAATTCAAATTAGTTTAATTGATTCTTAAGCATTGTCAACAAATGAGACGATACGGTTTTTTTCTCTGCGATCGAAAGAAACTCTCTATGCCTGAAGTGCACTCTATTTAAAGATTTCAGTGGTATCCTATTAACAGCAAAAGAGGGTTCAAAGTGACGACGAAGCCGAATTTTAAAAGCAGGGTCCGTTAAGAGCCGACGCATAAATTCAGCGAGGGGAGCCCTTCAATTAGTCTAAACGCTGCAGAATACCCGTCACGATTCGCTGTATACATCCCGTAAAAAATAAGCTGACGCGAAACAAGAATAAATTTAATTATAATGGAAATAGCTTGAAAGCTTCCTTTAGACATTCAATTTTGTGGCAAGCAGAGCACCCTTTCATTTTCCCAGCTTCCATCGCCCATAGTGAGGTCGAGAAGAGATGAAATTCGGATTCATTTTTCCTCATTTCGTCGGTTTGTTTCGAGTTCCCTTGCATTATGGCAATTTCAATTATTCTAGTTTTATCAGCAGCCAACGCATCGCAAGAAAAGTCGCTAAAAATTCCCGTAAGAAAATACAGTCTAACGGTTATTATCATCACTGTCACTTTTCCTCCAGTGGCGAGACGTGAATCGTGACGACTATCGATATTTCCCCGTTAGAAGCCATGGTAGAGAATTGAGTATTAAGATGTTCGATGCGAACAGACCAATCGATAGCAGATTAATAAATGTATCGCGAAGCACGCCACGCCACCGTTTTCCTCTCCGACTTAAGAATAAAACTTCAGAAAATTTTAAGCTTTGGAAGTGAAAGATACCTTCCGCACCTCCATCCATGAACATGTTTATCGAAGTCATAGATTGTAGTCTGTCGTAAAACAGAATTTACTTAACGAATGTAAAATATTTTTGAGGTTTTTGTATGATTTTAATTTCGTTGTGTTTTTTGTCCATTTTTTTCCTACTCAATGATCAATTTTCTATTTCTTTTTTGTCCATTTTTTCCTACTCAATGATCAATTTTCTATTTCAGAGATACTTTCAACAATGAACGCTTTGTACAACATCCCATTAGCATGATTTTGTATACGCTCTTATTGTCAAATACATATGAACTCTTTTGATCTTTTTTGCGACTAGAAGTTTTAATCAGTCATTCAGAAGTACCTACTTCACTTATAACGCCAAAGCTTCCCATTCACATATACTTTCGGTCAAAAACTGGACCCTTGAAATCCAATTTGACTTGCATACTTATGGACAAAAAAAGGGGGAGAGACACTGATGCCATGCTTCATTTGCAATTCCGTTGTCTCTCTTCCCTTTAAACTCATTCCTCTATAACGAAAGTAACCCGATTATAAATACTGTCGTCCAGCTAAAAGAAATTATCGATTGTAAATATTGTTCTAAATTTTTAGTTACTTTCAATAAAGGAACTCTAAATAATAAAAAAAGGACAGAATGAACAGGGAAAAATTCTCTTACCTTCAACTAAAACCCCTTCAAATCCGCTGTGATGAGACAAAGAGTAAAATCCTGGTTTGCAGTGGCAGCTGTATGACCCAGTCATCCAACCCTGGCTGCTTTCGTGTGGTAAACACTGAAAAATATTGTCAAACTTCAAATGCCTTGGACCAGTGTTGTAATATTAAAACTCGATTTTTTTACTCTGCGAGAGTCTCAAATTGTCTTACAATATTTAATTTATGATCGCCGAAAACCACACTATATATTTAATAGGATTTAAATATACTGAACTTAAAAAGAGGCAAAGACCACTTCGTCCGTCCCGCATCCAGTTCACGTAGCGGCGCGGCGCGGCGTGCTGCCAGCGCGAAACGCGCACTGGCGCCTACAAACCTAAGGTGATACATTACGCATTGCGCAATGCTTGAAGTATCCCTTTAGGTTTGTAGGCGCGAATGCGCGCTGGCCGCCCGTCCGCCACGCCGTGCTGTCAGCTGGCTTTTGGTATCCACGAAATTGAAGGCGATTTTCCATGATTGCTTTATCATTACCACACGCTTCAAAAACAAGAGGAAATGTATCCATAGGGCAGTAAGCAATGTGAAGACTGAGAAATTTACAAATAGGGGTCTTGGAGAACGAGGCGCATAAGTGTAGTTTTTGAAAAAATTGAAATATTCATGAACTCAACTAAAATAGTTTGAAAGTATATTCTGTGAAAAATTCACAACTAAAATCCAACTTTAAAGCATCAAAAAGTGAATTTAAAGTTCTAATAAGGCTTCATGTGATTTTGAAACTCTACACCCGTATTTCTTGAAATAGCGAAATCTCAGGCCCCTCAAATATACTCCCAGACCAAACACTTGCGCTACACCCTGACAAATGGATCGAATTGAAAACTGGTGTTAATGTTTGTTTTTTGTGGTGAGCGACTACCCAGCGTCACCTCATCCATTAGTCGACATTTAAGTCCAGTCGAAGTAATATCTAATTTAATTGAAAATTCTTTTCGAGTTCTCTAAAAAAAGTGTAATAGAAGACGTCATTGCCTGTGTGTATATCGTCACCTTCCGGCCAGTGTATCACAAGCGTCATGCGACGGGTAAAAGTTTCCTCCGCCATTTTATATTTTTACAGAGACATTTTTGATTGAATCTAATTGAAGATTTTACTGATTTTTAACGGTAGCACGAAGAGAATTCAGTGGAATTTTCGGACAGCTCCGTTGAACAATATCTCTGTAAAAAATAAAAAAAATGGCGGTGGAAATTTTTAAATGTCGCATGGTGCTTGTGATACTTTGGCCAAAAGGCGACGATGTGGCATCCACAATTCACGTGTCTCGTAACCGAGAAAAAATTACAAATCTATGAAAAAACTTAAAAACCAGCTCTGGTGTTTCCAATTTTTGTTCTTGATTCATTTTTTAGAGGAGAAACGACGCAACAGACACGCAATTTTCACAGAATTTCCTTCAAACCTAGAAAATTTAATTTCTCAAGAGATTTTGCTGATTTTTTTTCTGACTAATAAACACGGTGCAAGATGATATAATATCTGCAGTGATACACACTATGATGTGGACCGCGTTAAACAGATAGGAACCAAGCCACATCAGCTATTGCCAAATTTCATCGGGCAATTTAATTTTTTACATGAAAACGGTTGTGCGGATTTTCGTGAAAATTTCAATGAATTTTCTCCATAATACAAAGCAAATTCCTTAAAATTTTCAAAGGAATCCGCACAAACGTTCTCTCGTAAAAAATCAAATGCCCCTGTTAAATTTGGCAATAGCTGATGTGGCTTGGTTCTTTTCTGTTTAACGCGGTCCATATGTGGTCTTCGAGTTTAACCAAAAGTATTTCTTAGACCTTGTAAATGAGCGAGTCAAAAGTCCCTCCCAAACTACTCAGTTCCGCAATCCTCTAAATAAAAAAATTGTGTGGGTTTTGCCGTTTCGACTATTGCAAAGTCTCGCAGCGAGACTCCGGATGACGGCGAAAATTGCCTTTAAAAAACCGGACACGATAGCAGAGCGGTTGAGGAGAGGAAATTGCGGGGAAGACGCGACCGTTAATCTTTCAAGATGTGACAAGACAAGTCTGACGAATTAACTCCACTTCATTTGTTTCCGGGATGAGTAAAAGCTTTTACCGGAGCATCACGGAGCGCAAGGAGCAGATGCACTGACAAATTTGCACTCAGCGTTTTGCTAAATCGCAGTCTGGAAATTTATATAAACTTACGTACGAAAACGCACACCCCGAAACCCTGCGCCAACTTACAAGCGTATATAAATATCTTAAACGAAACTCACTTCCTTCCCGGAACGAGACTCCGCTATTCATCACGATATAATGGAAAATTGATTACGTTTCCCCACCGCGAAAGAAAGGGTTGTCGCCGGATGGGACTTGGTAACATTTTTCTTGTATCCACCGACTGAAAGCTTATGTTTCAATCCTCCATCAGACCAAACGTAATTTATCATCCCATCGCGCCTTTGAAGTTGCGGGGTGAAAATTGTATTTTGTACGTCTTGACTTTTCCACGATCGCATCTCATTTTCTGATGTCACCTCACTCCCGAGAAATCTGTGTGGGTTTCATCCCCCCTTTTTTTAGAGAGAGAGGGGGAGAGAGAGAGAGAGAGACTGTGTGAGATCTCTTATTCGTCAGCTAGTCACGTAAATTTGGATTTTATGATATTGACAGCTTGATAATAATGAGAATGGACCACCATATCGGGTAAAAATTAAATGGACGCATTTCTGTCAAACGGAACTATGTGCATTATAACGTTAGCACTGTTACGCATGTATTCTTATGGGTCTCAAGAATCATGTCTTGAGGCACATAGTTCCGTTTGACAGAAATATGTTCAAATACCATCATTTTCCCTCATTAAAGGCTCACGCAAATTCCGGTGTCCTTAAAATTTCAAAATTCCACTCATGAAGTAAGGATTGCGTTTTTTGTGTACGCCAATTCAACGTTTCCGTCCATAAAAAAAAGAGAAAAAACCAAATCGAGTTCTAAATTAATTTCAGTATATTTCACGACGGGAAACTTTTTTCGGCGAGCTGAATTTTCAATGAGACGTTCAGAAGAGAGACATATTCCAAACGCACGAGATTGTTTTCAATGATTAGTTTGACTTACATACATGTTGGTTTTTTCACGAGCAAGAGGCTTGATTTTGACTGACTGATTCTAACTTAAAAAAGGAACAAATGTTGTTTTTCACATGTCAGCTTCTTTTGGAAGTTTTTGGTGCATTCAACGTAATTTGCGTCACAGAATAAAGAAACGCGTTTAGGGGTCAATTAATTTCATGCGAAAACGAATTTTAGTAGGAAACAGCAGATCAATTTGGAGGCTGATTGAGCTGCGAGGATGTTGAAGTTACACTTACGTAAGTAGTATCATTGTGGCACTTATGACTTCCCAAAAAAACGTTCATCTGCTCTGATGACGTCGAATGGAATGGTGACTCACACTGATCTAATTTCAGGTCTGAAATATCCACGTCAAAACTAAGAAACTCTCGGATCCTGAAATAAAAATCACAATAAAATACCAAGAATAATTTTTAAAAAAAAACAAACAAAGTGTTGAAAAAAAACGAAGTAACCTAGTCAGTCAATTATTATTATCATAAAGTAATCAGAGTATTTTTGATAGTCAAAGGAGAAATAGAGGCCGATGTTCAATCCAAAAAATACGAGGAGAATCCTGAAGCATTTAGAAAATGTCATTAGGGGGATACAAAATCACTATTCTTTCGAAACAATTAAGAGGTATGATGGTGAGAATTTGATTCCATTTTTACTTCCCAAATTTTAAAAGATCATGATTCATCTCAGTGAGAGTCCATCTCTAAAGTCAAACTCTCCATGCAAAGAGATAGGGAGCAAACGCATTAACAGAGTTGCCACTTTGTTTGGGAACTCCAAAACTGAGAACACGGCAACCCTGCTGATGTATTTGCTTCCTATCTTTGCATGGAGAGTTTGTCTTGATATAGAGGTGGGCTCTCAGGATAGCGTGCGATAACCCCTTTATTACGTCGCGTCCTCGACTTTGAGAGCTTTTTCTCAGCTTTCTAGTTCCCTAGTAGCAGAGTTATATAAAAAAATTGTTTTTAAAAGTATAAACCGTAAATAACCACAAGCTAAAGAATATGCATTGTTTATGTAATGGATGTAAAGTTTTTTAGTTAAAAGTTTACATTTTCAATACGCTTTTTATGTGACCCTTAGTATAAAAGTTATATAACCAAATTCAAACAGTGTATAAAATGAATTTTCATTATTCTTCCTGGCTGGTAGCGCACTCTAGTTATGAAGTGTGCAAGTTTTCATATGCGATACTACCACCAGGTGGTGGATCATCGTAGAGTTGTGACTTACCTTAAATCCGCGTCGTCCTAGTCGGGATTAGAACCCACACCTCGGGATGGAGTTGCAATCCGAAGTCCAGTACTTTACCACCAGACCAGCCAGGCTTGATATGGATGGGCCCCTAAATTCAATCTCTTAACTATCGCAGGCCTCTGAGTCCGTAATATGTTTGTTTATTGACGGATTCTTATGATATTTTACCAGACTTTATTATTTATTATTTATTTATNCCCTGCTGATGTATTTGCTTCCTATCTTTGCATGGAGAGTTTGTCTTGATATAGAGGTGGGCTCTCAGGATAGCGTGCGATAACCCCTTTATTACGTCGCGTCCTCGACTTTGAGAGCTTTTTCTCAGCTTTCTAGTTCGTTTCAGAGAAAACCAGTGGCAATATCGTGTTTCTTACATAATTTTACAAAAGTCAAAGTACGTAAATCGCAAATTCCTCACACGTGCAAGAGCTCCATTCTGCCATTCTAAGAAAAAGCGCCGTATGAGCCTTCAGGCATTGCCAAATTTCTTCAGGCAAATCACTAATTTTCAGGAAACTTTGTTAATACGTTTCCTCCAAGTTCTTAGATAGTATTGGTTGCAATTTGATCTAAAGTGTCTGAAAATTTCAAGGAAAAATATTCATAATTTTCCTCAAAAATAAACATTTCATCGAAGGAAATTTGGCAACTCTCGAATGTTCATACGGCGTTCTTCCTTAGTTCGGCACTGCCGTGGTAAGGAAGAACACCGTATGAACATTCGGGAGTTGCCAAATTTCTTCTCAGAACATGGTTATTTTTGAGGGAAGTTGTGAATATTTTTCCTCGAAATTTTCAGGAACTTTAGGTGGTATTGCGAACAAAATTATCTGAGAAATTGGAGGGAAAATATTTACGAATTTTCCAGAAAATTCGTGATTTACGGAAGGAAATTTGGCAACGCCTGAAGGTTCATACGGCGTTTTTCCTTAGCACGGCAGGGCAGTAATGGTCATCAAGAACACCTACCCTTGCTTGGACGAAGGGAGAAGAACACTGTACGAGAGGAGCCACTTGCGTTTGGCGCACGAGTAATAGGGGAACGTCCACCAGCCCCTGGTGAAGGACTCGGTGGTGTAGGACATGAACTTGCGTCTCTTGAGCGGTCCTAGGGGTAGGACTCCGTCGTAGTCGGACCCGGGGAGGAGTCCGTTGTCGAACCATTCGCGGTCGGTGGGCACCAAGCCGTCCAGTCTGGTCGCCGGCCCGATGTGATCCTCCCCGTTGGACACGACCTCCATGCGCTCGCTCACGAAGCGGTTCCAGCTGATGATGTCGCGGATGACGGCGTCGGTCTCCGAGGAGTTGGCGCTGATGGAGAGAACCCGAGTTGCTGTCAGGTGCTGGTCCGAGATCAGTAAGCTCTCCGCGATGGTGTGTAAATCTGAAAATTCCAACGTGGGCATCAGCGGTGGCAAACAAAAGTGCCTTCAATTTTGGAGTATGCAACACGCACATTCATAGAACAGGAATAGTTGTATCAAGACGCCTGAATCAATTCACAATCGTGGAGTATTTGAATCAGTGAGAACAAAAACACACCAACTCGGCAACTCAAAAATGCTCAATTTCATTGAAGATATAGTCAATTTTCCTGAAGGTCATTGAAGTGAGCGCATCTATTCCAATTTGGACCTTTAAAATGTCCTTTGTTTTTGTCTTTCGGCACCAAAAATATTTTTCCTACGCTAACTTCTGCGCCAACTGTGTAGTTTTATGTATGCGTCTTAATTATTTTCATTTTTTCGAGTGGGTGTATTTTCGTTCTCACTGATTCATTTGTAGGTTTATACAAATATAATAATCGATTTGTGTCGATCATTCTAAAAACGACTTAAGAGACAGAAATTAATAATAAGAGAAAAACCGTGAAATGCGTTTCCATCGATCCGTTTTGTATTTCAGAGCTCTGAGCTACAAACGCGATGAATTATTTGCTCACATCTTAATATGTAAATGAGTAGGCCGTACCTGTATCTCCGTGACGGTTTGTCGTAACGGGTTGGTACTTACTTGTGCCATTTTGTCGGTTCTACCTTCATAATCCATACGATCTATAAAATGGTCTGACTCCTATAGTTTTCTAATTTTATTCTCATGTTTTCATTTCTGGCGCTCAAGTCTTTTTGAAAATGTCCATACTCAAGCGGATCTGAGCGTTACTACCAAATATAACTTTCACACCCAGGAAAAATAGCATCGCAGGGTCTAAAAAATACCTTGTATTTGGGCAGACCACCTCACCGTGAATTAGATTATGTATAATGGAGTTAAATGGAGAGAAAAGCACTTTTGTCAACTTCCGGAAATGCCACTAGGTAATGGAATACCAAACGTGATGCCCTTGTTATTGAATATTGAGTCCTTACTTCGCAGCACAATATAAACACAAGGTTTCAAGAGATATTTCCTCTTCAACCCTCTATAATCTTAGGGGCAAACGAAATTTTTCGATTTTCAAGTCCGACGTTTCACAACAGCCTTTTTCTACAACGGTGAACTGATAACAATAATTTTTTTATGTACACTGAAAAAAAAGTTACGCGCTCAAAAGCCGAAAGTTCCGGGTGCTGGAGCCGTAGCTCCGATTGCTCCAGGTGCTACACCCGGAATTTTCGGCCTCTGAGCCCGGAACGCGGACGGCGTGTCTATATAGCCCGTAAGTCCGGCTCCCATGGCCGGACTTTTTTTTCAGTGTAGAAACAAAACGTGGGGAGAATCAGAGAGTTTCCTTTAAAGTTGCCTCACATCGATGGCTGAAAACTTGAATAATTAATTCTTAGCTGAAGGTCAGCCGTAAGGGGTAAATGAGCGTCTGGTGTGGAATTTGACCGGGAGAAAGGCGGCGGGTCCAACGAGTGAGTGTTGACTGTTGATTGCGTCTATTAATCAACACTAACAATTGCTGGATCTGGGTTCAAGCTTTAAAGCTCCCACCTTCCCCTCCTACGACAGCACATCATACGCCTCACGTATCTCCCGCCGATCCC